GCCCCGGGTCTCCATGCCGGAGACCACACCTACTCTGCGGTGGACGGGGAAGGTTGGCGATGCGTCTGTGTTCCGTGTCTGGGGATCTCGAGCTTTTGTCCGCGACTTGTCTGCGGACAAGCTGTCCTCCCGTGCTGTTCCCTGCGTCTTCCTTGGCTTCCCCCCCGACGCGCCTGGTTGGCAGTTTTACCACCCCACCTCGCGCCGTGTTCTGTCCTCTCAGGTAGTCACGTTTGACGAGTCGATTCCTTACTACCGTCTCTTCCCCTACCGCACTGCCCCCCTCCCCCCCCCCGCCGCTTTTCCTCTCGCCAGGTCCTCCCCCGGTAGACCCCCTCCCCCCTTAGGGTCCTGCCCCCTCAGGTGTGTCCCAGGTAGACACAGTCGAGCCTGTCGAGGTAGCTGTTGACTCTGGTGCTGCTAGGGGTGCTGAGCCTGAGCGTGTGGAGCCTGGGGGTGCTGAGTCTGGGGGTGCTGAGCCTGGGTTTGCTGAGCCTGGGGTTGCTGAGTCAGGGGGTGCGGAGCCTGTGGGTGCTGAGCATGCGAGTGTGGAGTCTGGAGGTGCTGAGCCTGGAGGTTCTTCGGGTGCTTCGTCCCGGCGGGAGCCACTCTCTCCACAGCAGCTGCGCGAGTGGTTTTCCCGGTGCTGGAGCCGTGCTGGTGGAGCTGGTGGTGCTCCGGGCGCTGGAGGTCCTGCTGCTGCTGGAGCTGCTAGGGGTTCTGGAGCCACTGGTCTCGGAGGTGCTTGTACTGGAGGTACTGGAGCTGCTGGGCCTGGTGGTGCCGCTGGAGCTGGAGCTGTTGGAGGTGCTGGCGCTGGCGGTGCTGCTGGAGCAGGTGCTGCTGGAGGTGCTGGAGCTGGCGCTCCTGGAGCTGCTGGGGCTTCTGGTGGTCCTACTGGAGCTGGAGCTGCTAGGGGTGCTAGAGCTGGAGGTGCTGCTGGAGCCGGTGCTCCTAAGGGTGCTGGAGCTGGCGCTCCTGGAGCTGCTTGAGGTGCTGCTGGAGCTGGAGGCGCTACTGGAGTTGGAGCTGACGCTGGGGGTGCTGGTGTGAGAGAAGGAGTTAGGAATGAAGTTGATGACTTGATTGAGAATCATGGGGGTATACATAGTAATGGGGTTGGATGCTAACCTAAGGTGACATTATTGGACCCCAACCAAGAAGTTGGGTTGGGAGATTATTGGTGGGGTCCAATAATGTTGGCCAAGTTGGGGTTGGGCCAACATTATTGGAGGGGGCCAATAATTCTACCCAACCCAACCTTTTGGGGTCCAATAATTGGACCAAGGTTGGGTTCCAACCTACAAACTGGGTTACCCCTATTTGTACACCCAAACTAAGTTTGGGTGGTTAACTCTAGCCTGTCCTATAGCATATATGCAGGTTACAAAAGGAGAGGGATTCTAACACAACCCCTTAACCTGCAGAGATGCGGAAAGGCTTGAGGGAAGCAACCCCTGAATCAAGGCGCGCCTGGGGGAGCGAGGCCGATAAGGCGGAGAAGAGCAGAGTGGGCAGGGCGAAGAAGGGCTTTGGTAAAGATATCAGCCAAGTTGGCTTCAGCAGCGATCTTGCGAACGGCAATGAGGTTCTGTTGGACGAGTTCGCGGATGAAGAAATAGCAGAGCTCAATGTGCTTGGAGCGACCATGAAAGACGGGGTCCTGGGTGAGATGGATAGTGCTAGCGTTGTCACACCAGAGCGTGGGACAGCGCTGGTGTCACAGGATCGAATTTCCACTCGAGAATGTTGCACTAAAGGTGAGTACAAGGCGTATTTATACTCAGAAATACATAGAAACAACAGATAATCTGAACCTTCGGGAACGCGCTCTTCTAGAATAGATAATCACAAGTGCGCATAAGCACGCAAGCCCATTGGCACTTCGGATTATGGCGAGATTACGCCTTGTACACCACTGTCGGTGCTGTCGGTGCCGTATAATGTAAATGTCGGTGCCGAAAATACCAAATAAGTGAAATAATCGGAAAGCTCTAGAAAATAGAATAATAGTCCGATTGAGGTGAAATAAAGTGAAAATGAAAGAGGAAAATAAGGAGAATAAGATAAAGTAAAAATATGGAAATGAGAAATATGTCGAACGTCGGCGTACTCTCACACTTCCCCCCCTCAAAGCTGGGTGGTAGATGTAACACCCTGCTTGACAAGATAGTCACTGAGAGAACGTCGGGCGTGACTCATGTCTTCTTCAGAGACCCAGCTGTCCTCAGAAGGATCATAGCCTTTCCAGCGTACGAGAAACTCCAGGGCGCCATGCCGACGACGACGATGTGCAAGCACAGATTCAACCTCGTACTCAATTTCATCATTCACGAGGACTGGAGGCGGCGGCGGAGGTTGGCGTCCCGTGTACAGCTTATTTGGATCTTGATAGGGTTTAAGAAGCTGCACGTGGAAGGCGTTATGAATCTTCCAAGAAGCTGGTAGGCGCAAGCGGAATGTGACTGGAGTGACCTGCTCTTCTACGAGGAAAGGTCCGCAGAAGCGAGGTCGTAACTTGGATGGAAGGTGACCGAGGTTGAGGTTGCATGTGTCGAGAAGCACATGGTCACCAACCGCAATGGTATGATCACGTCGATGGCGATCGGCCAAGCGTTTCTGTGAAGACTGTATGTCCTGTAGACGTTTGTGTGTCCGATCCCAAAGCTGCTGCATTGTGGTAACGAAGTCGTGCGCGGGTTGGACAGTTGCAGGTACTGTCGGCTGTTGTGGAGTTAGTGGATGTCGTCCGTAACAGAGGAAAAATGGGGTCTCTCCTGTTGCGGCATGCTTCGTATTATTGTAGGCAAACTCCAACACCGGCAAGTGCAAGTCCCACTTGTTAATGTCGTCCTTGCACGCTGCGTGCAAGAGTTGTTCCACAATTTGGTTCAAGCGCTCTGTCTGCCCATCGGTCTGGGGATGATATGCAGATGACATTGCTAGGCGTGTCCCCATGAGCGACATGAGCTCTTTCCAGAACTTGCTAGTAAACTTGGGGTCCCTGTCGGATATGAGGGTTGTTGGGATCCCGTGCTGTGAGATGATGTGTTTGAGGAATAGCTGTGCCGTTTCCTCCGTGCGTGCGGTTGTATGTGTCGGAATGAAGTGTCCCATCTTTGAGAATTTGTCGATGACGACCAGGATGGCGTCATGCCCCGCGTTGGTAGGTGGTAAACCGGTGATGAAATCCAAGCTGACCACTTGCCAAGGCTGTTCCGGGACGGGTAAAGGCTGAAGAAGTCCTGCTTTCTTCTGCTTACTGCTTTTCATCCGCTGGCACGTGTCGCACGAAGTGACAAACTTTTGCACGTCGTTTGCCATGTGAGGCCAGTAATAGACTTTCGCAATCCCCGCAAGAGTCTTGTTACTCCCGAAGTGTCCAGCGTAGAGCACGTCATGGAATTCTTCGAGAAGCAACTGCCGAAGAGGCGGGTAGTTGGGTACCCATATCTTTGTTGATCCTTTGTGTAGTGCGACGTCGTGGTCCCACTGCAACAATTTCCATTTCTCTGCTAAGGGAATCTCGGGGTCGATGGTATACCTGTGCGTGAAGAGTCCCTTGAGTAGCGGATTCATCCCCTCAATCTGTATGGCGGCAACGTGTCCAGGCCGGCTCAGTGCGTCTGCCTTATTCTTGTGTCCCGGCTTGTACACGATGTCGTAGTCGAAGTGCGTCTCGAGGAAGTGAATCCACCTGACTTGTCGTCTGGAGAGGGTCGGCTGCGTTTTCAGGTATTTTAGGCTGCAATGGTCAGTGTAGACCGTGGTCTTTCTCCCTTCGAGGTAGCATCGCCATGTCTTGAATGCGGTGATGATCGCTAAGGCCTCTTTGTCATGAATCGGGTAGTTGAGTTCTGCCCCGTGCAATTTCTTACTGAGGTAAGCGATTGGTTGTAGTCCTTTCCCTTGGTCTTGCATCAAGACTGCTCCAACTGCTTGGTCGCTAGCGTCAGCTTCGATGATATAGTCTTTTTCTGGATCTGGCAAGATCAGGACGGGTGCGGACGTGAGTGCGGTCTTCAACTGCTCCATGGCTTGCTGGTGCACATCCTCCCACTTGAACGGTGTATTCTTCTTCAGTAGATTGGTGAGAGGTGTTGCAATCTTCGTATACTGTGGCACGAACCGATTATAGTAGTTCGCAATGTGAGAATCCTAGCGTGACTTAGGAGCCATAGCTAGTGAGTGTCGAGAGAGTTGAGTATCGAGAAGATTGAGTGTCGAGAGAATTGGAAAGGAGAATGGGGTTTCACTAGCAAGAGTTGGGATACAAGTACAACACCCTAAATTGGGTTGTACTCATTACAGAGTACTCCACTGCAGGCTAGACAGCAAATACATTCTGACACACCCCCATAGTCAAAGTGGGTTATAATCAGCAGAGCAAGCAGTCATAGAGCAGGTTCACATGCACAAGTAAAGCTAGAGGCAGTCGCAGAGGGCAAGTGAGGAGGAGGAGTGACTGTGAGAGGAGAGGAGATGGGAGGCGACTGTGGAAGCTGCAGACACACAGGAGCGGCTGGCTCAGTGGCTACCGAAGCAATGGCCCGGACTACAGGAGTAACCGGCTCCGCGGAGATTGTAGCCTCCTGACAGGAGCAACTGACCCACAGGCGACTGGCGACTACCGGAGATTGTAGCCTCCGGACTACTGGCGCTGCTGGCGACACGAGTGCTGCCTCCGCTCAACTTCCCAACTATCCCACCCCCTTTCACACACCCCTTGCTGCACCCCTAGCTCCACTCCCACGTCACCCCCCTAGCACCACTCCCTCGGCTCCCACACACCCACCCCCCTCAGCGGCAGCTGCAGCAGTGGGATACGAAGGTGGAGGAGGAGGAAGGGACGGTTCACACACCCACCACCCCCATACCCGCCACCCCGCAGGTGCACCCACACCCGCCACCCCCATACCCTCCTCCCACTGCTGCACCTGCAGCAGGGGATGGAGGAGAAGGGGGAGGGGGGGGGGGGGGGGGGCGGGGGGGGGCTGGTGATGCAGATCCCCTCCCCCCCACTGCTGCAGGGAGGTAGGAGAAGGGAGGAAGGGGGGGGGGGGGGGGCGGGGGGGGGGGGGGGGGCTGGTGCTGCAGGAGAAGGGGCGGTGCAGGAGCCGCTCGGGCGACAGCAGGTTGGCCACACCCGCCACCCCCATACCCTCCCCCACTGCTGGGGGGGGAGCTGCAGATCCCCTCCCCCCCACTGCCACACCCACAGCAGGGGGATGGAGGAGAAAGGGGGGGGGGGGGGGGGGGGGGGCGGTGCAGGAGCCGCTCGGGCGACAGCAGGTTGGCCACACCCGCCACCCCCATACCCTCCCCCCATTGCTGCACTAGCAGCAGAGAGATGGAGGAGAAGGGGGGGGGGGCAGGGGGGGCAGTTGCTGCAGGTCCCCTCCCCCCACTGCCGCATCCGCAGCAGGGGGATGGCAGATCCCTTCCCCCCCACTGCCGCACCCGCAGCAGGGAGATGGAGGAGAAGGGGGGGGCGAGGAGGGGGGGGGGGGGGGGGCAGGTGCTGCAGGTCCCCTCCCCCCCTCTGCTGCTCCCGCAGTAGGGGGAGGTAGGAGAAAGGTGGGGGACCTGGTACTGCAGATCCCCTCCTGCCTCCCCCTGAACCTCCAAGTTTCCCCCCCCTTTCCCCGCCATCCCCATGGAGGGGGGGGAGGAGGGGGAGGGGGGCGGGGGCGGAGCTGCGCGTGCGACTGTAGGGCACGCGGGCAGGAGGAACCCCCTCTTGCCACCCCCTCACCCACCATGGCGCAACAGGGCACCGGGGCCGCGGTTAGGGGCAGCAGGTCGCGAGGGGCCATGGCTAGGGGCGACGGGGCCATGGCTAGGAACGGGGCCGGGCGCTGGGCAGGTACGGGGCCGGGTGCTGGGCAGGTACGTGGCCGGGCACTTGGCAGGAACGGGGCCGGGCGCCGGGCAGGTACGGGGCCGGGCGCTGGGCAGGTACGGGGCCGGGCGCTGGGCAGGTACGGGGCCGGGCGCTGGGCAGGTATGGGGCCGGGCACTGGGCAGGAACGGGGGCCGGGCGCTGGGCAGGTACGGGGCCGGGCGCTGGGCAGGTACGGGGCCGGGCGTTGGGCAGGTACGGGGCCGGGCGCTGGGCAGGTACGGGGCCAGGCGCTGGGCAGGATCGGGGGCCGGGCGCTGGGCAGGTACGGGGCCGGGCGCTGGGCAGGTACGGGGCCGCGCGCTGGGCAGGTACGGGGCCGGGGCGCGGGCTAAGTACGGGGCCGGGCGCGGGCGTTATACGGGCCGGGCGCGGGCTAGGTACGGGGCCAGGCGCTGGCGACAGACGGGGCCGGGCGCGGGCTAGGTACGGGGCCGGGCGCTGGCTAGGGTCGGGGCCGTGCGCTGGGCTAGGTACGGGCCGGGCGCGGGGCTAGGTACGGGCCGAGCGCGGGCGAGAGACGGGGCCGGGCGCGGGCAGGGTACGGGCCGGTCGCGAGGCTAGGTACGGGCCGGGCGCGGGGCTAGGAACGTGGCCGAGCGCGGACAGGGTACGGGCCGGGCGCGGGCGACGGAATCGACAAGGCCAGCGGGGCCAAGGGCCCGAGCTAGGGGCGACGGGCCAAGGGGCCGAGCCTAGGGGCGACGGGCCAAGGGGCCGAGCCTAGGGGCTATGGGCGACGCCACGGGGCGACGGGCCGGGGCCTAGGCTAGCAGGTACGTAGTTGGTGGGCCCATTGAAGTTGAAGTCCTAGGAAGGTTATGCTCTTAGTACCAAGTGAGAATCCTAGCGTGACTTAGGAGCCATAGCTAGTGAGTGTCGAGAGAGTTGAGTATCGAGAAGATTGAGTGTCGAGAGAATTGGAAAGGAGAATGGGGTTTCACTAGCAAGAGTTGGGATACAAGTACAACTCCCTAAATTGGGTTGTACTCATTACAGAGTACCCCACTACAGGCTAGACAGCAAATACATTCTGACACGCAAAGCCAAGGAATTGCTGAAGTTCCTTCACGTTCTCCGGTGTCTTCCACGTACGTACGGCTTCGATCTTCTTTGGGTCGACATGGACTCCTTGAGCGCTCACCATGTGTCCAAGGAACTGAACTTTCTTCAAGGCAAACTTGCTCTTGGATAGCTTGACGTAGAACTTCTCCCGTCGAAGTATCTCGAAGACGCGTCGTAGGTGTTCGATGTGCTGCTTCATGTCCCTCGAGTAGATCAGGATGTCGTCCAGGTACACCACCACGCATTCGTCGAGTAGAGACCTAAGAATATGGTTCATTTCGGCCTGGAATGTAGCGGGTGCGTTGGTGAGTCCGAACGGCATGACGAGGTACTCGTAGGATCCGTATCGTGTCCGAAACGCTGTCTTATGGATGGAGTTATCCGCCATCCGGATCTGCCAATATCTCGATCTCAAATCGAGTTTTGAGAATACTGTGGCTCCACGAAGCTGGTCAAGTAGATCGTCGATCCGTGGAATCAGATACTTGTTCTTGATCGTCTGCTTGTTGAGGGCTCAGTAGTCGATGCACATGCGTAAGCTTCCGTCAGGTTTTGGTGTGAAAAGCACTGGTGCACCGTATGGTGATGTTGATGGTCGAATGAGTCCTTTGTCCAGAAGGTACTCGATCTGCTTCTTCATGTCGGCCAACTCGGTAGGGCTGAGTCGATATGGTGCTCGGAAGGTCGGTTTTGAACCAGGTTCTTCGATGATCTCGTGCTGGTGGGTTCGGTATGGCGGCAACTGATCTGGAAGGTCGTCAGGGAGAACGTCTTCGAACTCTTCTAGAAGTTTCTGGATTGCTGGTGGAAGCTCGAGCGTTTTTCTCTCTCCTTCGTCCTCGTTGGTAACCAGTGCAACAAACCCTGCCATGGTTCGCTTCACGTCCTTCTCGAAGCGTGCGAGAGTCTCCTCCGGAATATCTCCCGTGTTGCGACAATTCGGAAGAGGAACTCTTCTGTCTTGATTGTAAATACTCGCCGTGCGGGTGACCCAGTTGATCTCGGGGTTGAACTTCTTCAGAAAATCTCTCCCAAGAATCAAGTCTAGCGCTTTGATGTTGGTGACGGGTAGGGTCGGTTTCCAGCGAAGAGGACCCATCTGCAGGTGTAACGCTGCTTCGCCGTAGACTTGTAATTTGCTTCCGTCAACCATCGTAGCTGTGAAGTTTGAAGGCGTGTACTTCTCATTTATGCGTTCGAGGGTTGCTTTGTCGCATACTGAATGGGATGCTCCGCTGTCCACGAGTGCTTGGAGGCGTCGTCCATTGCAGATCACCTCGAGAAAAAGTGGTTGGCGTTGCTCGTTGTACCCGTTGATCGTCTCGTTGATTGGATCATAGGGCATTTCCCATAGCTTTGTGTTTTCTCCTGGGGTGGCAGATGGCCGGTCCTGCCGTTCCCTATTGCCATGATTTTTTGTTGTCGTCGACGACGTGGTTCTCGAGCTCGTAGTAGAGCTCATAGATGGGGTAGATACCGTAGACGTTTCAGATGTTGCAGATGCATCTGTAGAGGAGGTTTGAGGTCGTCGCAGCTTCATGTTGACCTCTAGCTCCCTCTGGAGCTGCTTCAGCGCCACCGACTTCTTCCATGTGAACCGGTTGGTCGACGTGGGCTGGTTTTTCAGAGAGAGGACGATGTCGTCGTTGGAAGGTCGATCTTCCATGCTCCGTTGTTGGTTCCCCATGCGCAGCTGCTGTAGTTGTCGTACCGGTACATTCTTTTTCTTCTGGAGCCTCTCTCGTGATTTCACAAAGGCCGTAGACCCAAGGGAATTTTTTCCAAGTAAAGCATCCTTGTATGATATTTTGAAGGAGTGCTTACTTTTTACAGGGCCTTTTTGGAGTTCTCCGGGTCCAGCAGGGTCTTGTGTCGCGGAGATTTTATTTCCCTCGGCGATTTTCCCTGGTAGAGCCCGTTCGTGGTTTGAAAAATTCACTCCACGATCCTCCAATATTCGCATTAAATCTGCTCCACTGCTGCGGTCCCTAAGCGCTGAACGTGCAGTTTTCGTTTCGTCACAATCGATGAGTCGATGTCCGGGCTTGCCGCAGAAAGAACACTTAGATTTGTTCTTCTTTGGTCTTGCCTTCGCGTCGATTCGATCGAGTTCCATCGGGTCGGCGTACGTGGGGTCAGCCAAGCGTCCTCCATGTCGTCTAGCTCGTCCATGAAGTCGCCGTGTTCCGATCGTGGTTACGTCGAAACGTTCCGCTGCCGAAACGACGTCGTTGTAGCTGCTCCAATTTGCGGCCGCAACATGTTGTCGTGTTTCTTTTTTCAGCCCCGCGATGAATGCTCTAATTTTTTCGCCTTCCGTGACGTCGGGGATGCGGCTGAACAACTCCTCCATTTGTTGCGTGTAGTTCGCGACGCTCCCGATTTGTCGATGACGATGTATTTTGTCGCGGGCGATAAACGCTGCATTAATCGGCTCAAAACGTTGTAGTAATCGTTCTCGGAACTGCTGCCACGTCGCTTCACCTTGGTTTAATAAACCGCTTCCGCTTATCCATTCAATTGCTGATCCGCGCAGTAGTGTTGCTGCAAAATTAATTCTGTTTCTGTCGAGTGCTGGTGCTGTCCATCCAACGGCGGCAAAATAAATTTTGATCGCCAAAATCCAGCGCCTAGCGTCGATTTCCCCATCAAAGGTGTTGGGGGCTCGAATTTCTTGGGCCTTGGGAAAATTTCGCGACTGCTGCGAAGTGACGATCGATTCTGCTTCTGTCGTAATTTTCGCCCGAAGTCGTTCGATCCGTCGCGCGTCGGTCTCGCTACTTCTGCACCGCTCGATATAGGTCCCGACAATTCGCAATTGTCGTCCCTGTATCGCAAACGTTTTCGCCAACAATCGAACTCACGATCCTGTTAAAAAAACGCACGAGGGGGGTTATTAAAAAAACGCGGAATCTGGTGCTTACAAGCGTCGGCGCCGAATTCGTCGCCCCCGGCGGTTTTTCGAAGCAGGAATTTCTTGAGCGCGTTGCTTAGCTGAAACTCCGCGAGTGAAAACGGCTCTGAATACCAAGTCTCACAGGATCGAATTTCCACTCGAGAATGTTGCACTAAAGGTGAGTGCAAGGCGTATTTATACTCAGAAATACATAGAAACAACAGATAATCCGAACCTTCGGGAACGCGCTCTTCTAGAATAGATAATCACAAGTGCGCATAAGCACGCAAGCCCATTGGCACTTCGGATTATGGCGAGATTACGCCTTGTACACCACTGTCGGTGCTGTCGGTGCCGTATAATGTAAATGTCGGTGCCGAAAATACCAAATAAGTGAAATAATCGGAAACCTCTAGAAAATAGAATAGTAGTCCGATTGAGGTGAAATAAAGTGCAAATGAAAGAGGAAAATAAGGAGAATAAGATGGAGTATAAATATGGAAATGAGAAATATGTCGAACGTCGGCGTACACTCACAGCTGGGGTGCACCAAGCTCTGCCAGAAGAAAGCAGAGCCAGCGGGACTCTTGCGCAGCCATGGTGCCAGCATAGAGCTCATCTTCGCAGGAGGAGAGGGCGACGGCAGATGAGCGAGTGGAACCACAGCTGATAAGCCCGCTGCCGAGCGTGAAGCCATAGCCTTGTGAGGAGCGGCGGTCTGGCTGGGAGTCTGCCCAGGAGGAGTCGCTGAAGCCAGAGAGAAGGGGAGGGGAGGATCCACCCAATGTGAGGGCGTGATCCTTGGTGCCACGGAGATAGCAGAGGACCCGCTTGGCGGCAGCCCAGTGGTCCTCAGTGTGGCGGCCGGAGCCGACGAACCGAGCAAGGACGCTGATGGGGTAGGCGAAGTCGGGACGAGTGCACATCATCGCGTACACCAGCGACCCAACAAGCTCGGCATAGGGCCGGGAGGAGGTGGAGGGGGAGGTGGGTGGCGCAAGCTGGTGACCGAAGGGGAGGGGGGTGGAGACCGGTTTGGCCTGCGCCATCTCGAACTTCTCCAGGACCTGGCCGATGTAGTGGGACTGGGAGAGGGTGATGGTGCGGGCGGATCGATCACGAGTGATAGCCATGCCGAGGTAGTTCTGCAGCGGACCAAGGTCCTTGCACTTGAGACGTTTCTGAAGTGACCGCTTTACGTGCTCCATGTCGGCCTTGGTGTCAGCGAGCAGGATCATGTCGTCAATGTAGACCGAGATGAAGAAGCGACGGGGGGAAGAGCGGATGAAGAGGCTGGCATCGGAGTGGGAGGCGGAGAAACCAAGGGACTGGAGAGTGGCAGACACCTTCGCATGCCATTCTCGTGGTGCCTGT